AGACAAGCTTGCTAACCATTACACCACCTGGAGGTGCACTTGAAGTTAATCTGTATGCCAAAGCGAATTTTCGAATTAATTCGCAAAAATGGAGGATAGACTGAGAATTAAATTGTCGTTGTGACTTATTTGTTCTGTATTTGCTATTTTTATTTACACGGTCTTACCTTTATGACCAACCAAAAAATCCTTTTTTCAATGTTTGTTTAAATTTTTAATTGATTATTAAATGCTTACAATATTCCCTTGTTTGTTCATAAACTACATTTTCTAATTAAATGTAAATTGATTAAAGTAACAGTATTTTATATATTTTTTAACACTTTTGTATCTGTTCTTTTGACCAGGGTTGTATCTGAATTACACCAGGATCAAATAGATAGAAATAGATTCGATTTGCACTACAGTCAAACAAGGTAGACATGGGCCCAGTTTACACTAGAGCAAAATAGATCTTTGAAACCCTTTAAAACGTAGACCTACGTTCGGTTTACACTTGAATCAAAAAAGTAGGAATAGGTCTAGGTCATTCTAGGGTCAAAAACGTATATCTATATCCAGTCTACATTAGATTAAGAAAGTAGACATAGGTCCGGTTTACACTCGATTAAAAAAAAGTAGACATGGGTCCAGTTTACGCGAGATTAAAAAAGTAAACATAGGTCCAGTTTCCGCGAGATTAAAAAAAGTAAACATAGGTCCAGTTTATGTGAGATTAAAAAGTAAACATAGGTCCAGTTTACGCGAGATTAAAAAATAAACATAGATCCAGTTTATGTGAGGTTAAAAAAGTAAACATAGGTCCAGTTTATGTGAGGTTAAAAAGGTAAACATAGGTCCAGTTTATGTGAGATTAAAAAGTAAACATAGGTCCAGTTTACGCGAGATTAAAAAAGTAAACATATGTGTAGTTTATGTGAAATTAAAAAGTAAACATAGGTCCAGTTTACGCGAGATTAAAAAAGTAAACATATGTCCAGTTTATGTGAGATTAAAAAATAAACATAGATCCAGTTTATGTGAGGTTAAAAAAAGTAAACATAGGTCCAGTTTACGCGAGATTAAAAAAGTAAACATAAGTCAAGTTTATGTGAGATTAAAAAGTAAACATAGGTCCAGTTTACGCGAGATTACAAAAGTAAACATAGGTCCAGTTTATGTGAAATTAAAAAGTAAACATAGGTCCAGTTTACGCGAGATTAAAATAAGTATACATAGGTCCAGTTTATGTGAGATTAAAAAAGTAAACATAGGTCCGGTTTGCACTAGATTAAAAAAAGTAGACATAGGTCCGGTTTACACTAGATTTAAAAAAGTAGATATAGTTCCTGTTTACACTAGATTTAAAAAATGTTGACATAGGTTCAGTTTACACTAGATTAAAAAAAAGTAGACATAGGTCCAGTTTACACTAGATTAAAAAAGTAGACATAAGTCCGATTTACATTAGAGTCATAATGGAAGAAACTGGTCCAAAGTTTAAAAAAGATAGAGAGATGAGAAAGAGAAATAGACAGGCTCGATTTACACTAGATCCAAAATGGTGGATATAGGCCTTGTTCACAGTAGAATAAAAATTTGTAGGCGGCAATTCCGGTTTACACTATAGTCCATAATTTATAAATAGTCCAGCTTTCAGCTACAGTGTCAAAAAGGTAGACATGCTGCTAGTGTGGATTCCTACATTTGGCCTATCGCCAAAATATACCGGGGTATAGTTTAATCCAGTTCAGAATAACCACTGCGGCTAACTTCCTTTCATACCTCGGAGTATAAAATACCCTTATCTTAAACCTAGGCCAGATCATACCCAACCTTCTAAAGTTTCTTTTTGTTAACTCTAATGTTATGTGATGGCTCTCAGTCTAAAAACTGATAATAATGGCTGAGATGAACACATTCGACAGTAATCAGGAGCCATGTTTCTTAAAAGGAAATTCATCTTGTTCAATTAATACAGCTGTTGGGTAAATGTAAACAGGGTGAACTAGATTATATAAACTTGCTCCTAACTTGTTCCTGTTTTTAATAATAAAAAAAAAAACCTTATATTTATTTTATATAGATAAAGAAAATATATAATATATATATATATATATATATATATATATATATATATATATATATATATATTTCTATAGTTTTCGTGTTCTTGTTAGACATGACGTCATGAAATCAAAATAAGGGGTGAGGTCTAAATCTAATATAAGCCCACGTCCTTCTCGTTGACATTATTATACATCTATATATATATATATATATATATATATATATATATAAATAAAAAAGAAAGAACAGTAAGATATATAAATAAATATTTTAAATCAATAAATTTATAATATTTTATATCAATTAATTTATAATATTTTATATCAATTAATTTATAATATATTAAATATTTTAAATCAATTAATTTATAATATATATATATATATATATATATATATATATGTGTGTGTGTGTGTGTGTGTGTGTGTGTGTGTGTGTGTGTATGTGTATG